GTGTCTGTGTAAGTGTGTCAGTGTTCACGTGTCTGTGTAAGTGTGTCAGTGTTCACGTGTCTGTGTAAGTGTGTCAGTGTTCACGTGTCTGTGTAAGTGTGTCGGTGTTCACGTGTCTGTGTAAGTGTGTCAGTGTTCAAGTGATAGACTGTGGCTGTGTTCATTCACGGAGTCACCCGACACTGACAGTCTCTAGGAACTATGATAACGGTTCAATGAGTATATGTGAGGCAGCGTGGTGAAATGAGGCACTCGTCAAAATAACAAAATTGGAGAAATAGGCTTTTTTCCCACAGTTTGGCAATTTTTATTGAATTTTTGTTTTTTGGCTCAACACTTTTTATGTCCACATAAAGCACATTTCTGTTTGAATTTGACTGAAAAACGACGATTAAAGGCACAAAATACGTAATTGATCAGTTTTTGAGGGCTCTCAAGCTATTGAAGTTACCGAACTTTTGCGGCCATTTACTTGCTAATTTTAACAGTGAAACCAGGCGACCTCATCTCCTTCAACCGCAAAGATCTCGACATCTGTTCCAGAGAAATGGGTCTTTTTTTCATTGAAAAAACGGGAAATGAATAAGCTTTCAGATATGATACCAACAAATCTACATGCCCAAAAATTGACGTATACCTGCTTCCACCGCATCGTGACTCATAATTATGTCTGTTTCAGAATCAAACCATTGGTCGGTCTGCCGGTGGAGGTGAAATCTTACGCGTCGTTCACAGTGACGGCCGAGTGTGCGTGTGTGTGTTCTGTGGGCAGTGGAGACGCCATTTATGGTGAGTGGTATGGGTCGTTTATGGTGGGTGGTGTGTGTCGTTTATGGTCACTTTTAAGCACAAAGGGGCTATCCCGAAAACTGCTGTTTTGAGAAAAGAGAAGGTAAAGTTTTTGGACCCATGAAATCTATCTTCAAAAGACAAAGAGAGTTTTCTCTATAACCAAACAAATATACCCATGAATGAAACCAAAATTCTTTTATAGGTAAGGCAATGCCCACTTTTGGTGTAGCTCAAGGTTTTTGGAAACCCCCGAAATTTGGATTAGCCCGCGTCTTAAAAGCGACCATATGGTGAGCAGTAGGAACTGAATCCAAGGTAACATTCCATTCTACTTTCAGTAATTAGACCGGTGTACCTGTTTTAGAGGCTTGTTGTATTTTGACAAGGCGACTCTCAG